CTCCCAAAGAAACCCCGCCACCCCCACCGAGCGGCAGCCCTCAGCTTTGCGCATGCGCCCCACCGGCAGCAATGGGCAGGTCCTCAGCGGGAGACTTCAAAAACGGGCCAGACTTTGCCGTTGGGCAAAAGGCCCAGAGGGTTAAGAATGTCTTCGTGTTACGTGAAGTCCTGCTGAGACCCACGAAGGAAAATTGAGGTTTGGTCCAAACCACGCCCCCCAGCGCCCCTCCCTCGCTTTTGACCTTGTGCCGCCGGGCTGCGAGAGCCAGTCGCTGGGATCGCTGAGCCTAGGTGGAGATGCAAGGCCCAATCTTCTTGGTTTCCCTTTGCAATCCCCCAAAAAACAGCTACTCTAAAAACTCGGACACAGCCACATGGCAAAAGGGGCGCACGCCGGCCCTGTGACATCTGAGACCAACCCGAAACGCGAGAAACGCCGTGCTTCGCCTCTCCCCCAGCTGGAGGCCGTGGTTCGCAGCGGAGACGCATGCCAACATCAGGCGTGGAGCTTCGAACGCTCGCAACCCCATGTCTTGTGTGAAAACCCCTCGCTCCATCCGTGTGCAACCATGTTCGGATGGAATAAAACTTATCTCATCCGGCGCCCGATTTCTAAACAAACGAACCCAACGGACACCTATGCATGTCGGTGTTGCCCGCTTGACGCGCCAGCTGCCAGGCTGCTGGAGGTTTGCCCCGAAGCGTGCAGTGAAGCAGCAGGAGCTCAGCAGAGGGTAGGACACCTCCGCTTCATCCGTCAAACCAGGGGACCCCCGAAATGCCAGCTGCAGGTTCTCCTGGTTGGTTTCCCTTCAAACTAACCTGAAAAGGGTACCCTCAAAAACCCACAAACTCGGGAGGATCAGGAAGGGAAGCAGTCGTATTGTGGATGCTTTCTTCACGGAATCAACTGCGCCAGCAGGGACGGCCGGGCGAAACCCACGGAAGCCATCGGCAAGTGCCGAAACTAGAGATATGCTTTCGGGAAGGCCTAAAGTGTATCAGGGATCCTTACATTTTACACCTGAACATTGCTTTGTCAATGGTGGTGTCCCTTTATTTTGGTGGAAAAAGCCATGTTTCAAATGGGCAAAATGCATCCTTTCAGGAACCCTGTGTATCTGCGCACCTTCCCCGAAATAGATCGAAGTTGTTTGAACTGCTGAAACAACTCATGTCGCCATCGTTGAAACGACTCACAGGTGGGCTGGAAGCTGAATAGCTGAATCTCTCAAAGGAGCCTAGGCCTGTCAATAGGACGCAAATAAATCAACGACTTCACTTGGAAAATGACGAGCAGTTGAGCAAGGTACACAGTCCCTACAAAGACTGACCTTTACATGGGAAGAGTGGCACTTCACCTTGCAGAAACAGTCTGCCAGCCTGGAATACCTTCTTGGGCAGTGATAGATTCCTGCATTTTTTTGAAAGATTCAGCTCAAGCTTATTTGGAATAGCGCTGACTCTGCGGGCAAGTCAAAAACGGACACCTCTGCAATCCTGTTTTCTCATCAGAAGTCGAATGGGCTACCGCGAAGATATGAGGGCAAACGAGGGAGTCAAACGGGTGAGACTGGCACAAGCAGATTTAAGCGCCACCCAGCACGAGCCCCATCTCAGCCAGGCAACTGCCAAGCAAAAGAATTTGGAGTGGTCACTGTTGCGGTAGGTCACCTCGCGAGTGCATGCAAGCACCGGCTGGTGCGAAACCAGAAGGGGGAGGAGGTCCTTGCAGAGACCCCCAGAAATCTTTAACCAATCGCGCATGATGCACTCGAAGGGCGGAACGTGGAAGCCGAAATCAATATGGACCTGGGACCTGCAAGAAACCTTGAAGTAACACAGCAGCTCAAAAAAAATTGAAGCCGCGCGCGCCCACGCACGCCCACGCACGCCCACGCACGCGCACGCGTGCGCGCGTGCGTGTAACGCTCAGGACATTGCAGCTGGGCTGCGTAGCCCGAGAGGCCGGCCCAGCTGCTCTGGAGCTCAATCCCCACATCCTGCCACATGGGACCCTCACTCATCCCACAGTTGTTGCGGGTTATAAGTCCGCAGCCCCTACTGAGATTGTGCGGCCCCTAGTGGGGGGCCATGCTGCTTGGCTTGCAGGCTGAGGGTGCGGGGTGTGAGAAGGTTGAAGTGAAAGTGGGCACTGCCTCCAAGAAGCAGAGCAACTGCCCGGTCGCACGACGACGTTTTCATGGGAGAGCGTTCAGCAGCGGCAATTACAAGCTTGAACCACAACCAATTGCATGTTCTTCAAATAGTCGCAGTGTTCGCATCAGACAGGGACTTCAAACAATCGCCAAAAGAGGACATTGTTTTTGCGCATCATAGAAGTTTAACAAATCATTGGCTCACAGGTTTCCCCTTTCCTGAACAATCATGGCAGTGGACAGCGGACTTCCCCCAAATGAAAGCAGTCTTACATCCCCCTCCTCTCAGCTTTCACATCCGAGAAAAAAAAAAGAAGAAGAAAAAAGTAGCGAGCAAAGCAAGGCCCCCTCCGGCTCCTCCTGGATCTCCTCCACCCGCGGGCCCGCCTGGGAGCTCCGTGTTGCGTTGCCACTGGAAAAAAATCGAGGAAGCTGGGTGCCGAATTTTTGGAACATGAGGGAATGCTGCTTGCGTCTTGGTGAACTTTCAGGCTGTATCTGGGAACACCAACAGGTTGCAAGAAGCAAACCAAGGCTTTTGGGCCCAGGGACAGGGCTGTGGCACCTAGGTTCGTGGGTTTGCAGTCAACCTGTCAATGGGTGACTGTTGGGTCGTTCCTTTTCATTCTTCACCCGAGCTTTATCCCAGCCCGCAACAGAAGGGCGGTGTGGAGATGTGGAAATTTCCCAAAGGCCTGATGAAAACAGAGAGTCACACTGCTGGCGGCAAGTCTCCGGCGTGTTAGATCACATACTGCCAACCGTGCCGGGGAGAACGATGCACATCTGCGACTTTCGGAAGGGAGAAGGTTTGTGAAACGAACCTTAGCAACTTCCCACAATCCGCAAAGCCCCATTGAACCTGACCCCAGCCCTGGTGTTTGCAACAAAAAACAAAAACAAAAAAAACGGCACTCCCTCCACATCTCCCGCTGGGGGCCGGGCCCAGCCTCCGCACTGGAAGCACTCTCCAGCGAAGGTCAGGCACGAGACCTCCGAGCCTAGCGACTTCGAACGGGGCCGAGTCTCAGCTGGCTCCTCGCCATCGGAAGGGGCCCGCCTCACTGGTTTCTTTCTTCGTGGGCGAAAGAAACTCGAAGTTGTGGGTCACAAGAACCAAGCAACCATGCATTACTTGGGGGAGTTTCAGAATTTCACCACCGCCTTCTTCACCCCAATAGCACCGGGCACCTGGCTCGAGTTTGCCACTTCGGGAGATGCGACGCTCGACCGGGCGCCAAACTTCAAAAGGCTTCACTCCTCAGCCCTGAGTGGGATGGCTTGGCGCATCCTTCCGTGGAAGTTTACTATTTTCTTGAGGGTACCCTTCCTTGGTTGACGTTGGAAGGGGAGCAAAAACATAAATTTTGGCCGTGGAGTGAATTTCCCACTGAACCACAACAAGCAAAACATGTAAAGTGTTGTCCAACAACAACCATGCTTCTAGGGGGTCGTGTTGAAACCCCACTTCGAGACAAACCCCAGGCAAACCGCCCAGATGCCAATGGGCAACCGCTCCCTTCAAGTTGTGATCTTATCGATCCCTATCAAGAGGCTTGGGATGATAACCATTACACTGAAGCAAGCAATATGACAAATGACATATGTTGTTTTTCTCTTTTGCCCACTATGGTCCCACATCCCCCGCTCGGTCTTCGGCAGTTGATGATCTGAAGGTGAACCTTCCGCTGCCACCTCAACGTCGCTCCAACTTTCTGGAAAGGAGTAAAAACATGTTGATCCCGTATTAATCAACCTTCACTAATAGGGAAGTGCTCCCCTCCAAAAGCGATGACTCTCCACTAAACAAAGGGACACACCCCTATTAATGGACTGGGGTTGATTAATATGGGGTCAGCGTTACAGCCTGCCACAGGCACCAGCGCGTGCCTAGCTAAAGCTTCGCATGCCAGCAATGATCTGAAGGCCCGACACAGGCATCGAAGCATCATCTCCTGAAGGGAGCAATCTGTCTGTTGGGCAGTTGTCAAATTGCGGTGTGGGTCAAAAATTAACCATCCGAGGACCGCAGATTTTAGTCCACGCTTCTATTTACCGGGGTTCGAATTTGGGTACCTATTTTTGACCCACACCCATCAGGAAACAAAAGAAGCGCTGCCAGAAAAATAGAATTCAGGACCTGCCATGCCGCCTTCAAATGCAAGAATCGGCACCATGATGAAAATACAGTCGCATCACCCCATTGGCACCCCGTGTGCTTTGAATGCAATTCTGTGAGTATTCTTGCGGAAAAAAAAAGGGGGAAAAAAAAAAAAAAACGTGTACGGTCACCTCATCGCTCGACCCACCCCACACGTCGTGGCTGCATTCGAAGTGGAAAATGACGCGTTTCTCAGAAGTTTTGCCCGGCCTCAAGGCGAAGCCGCAAGGAACGCCATGAGTGCCGTGGGGGAGGCCAAACTTAGATCTGTCGGCTGGGTATGTGATGGCAGTCCGGCTGGAGTGGCTGCTTGCATGGCACCAGTATCTGCATATTGCGAGGAAGGTAGCTCAAGAAATGAAGGGAAATCAGAAAAGGAAGCACTCGCAAATCAATCCACTGCAAAGCATGCTAAGGTTCAACCAAATGAGCGCTGAACTTACTGCAAAAGCCCTCCCTTTTGAGGTTCCCGAGCATTCAGATCTGCTTGATGCTCGCTCTGTCTCTCTCTTTCTAATCGGCTGCAGTGATCGCCAACTCCATTCAAGCCACAGCCAGCGCTCATGCCGCGGTCATAGCTGAATGCAACCGGTGCCCCGGTCTTGGGATCCACCAGCCCACACATCGCCTGCCCAACAGAGAGACGCGGGGCGAAGTTCTCCCACCTGAGGGCGGCGCTGTGAAGCCGTCGTCGGTGGGGGCAACGCCGGTCTCCTGGCGCAAAGCAAGGCGACGGGAATCGAGAGGATGGGAGTCTAGACTCTGATTCGCCAATACGTTTCTTTTTTTATCAAGCCTCTCTGTTGGCTCGCACCCTTTGCACTAACAGTCACCACCACGCTTTTTCACTGACCCTTCTAGCGCAGAAATGGGCTTGGCTGCAAGCCATGTGCTCACAGCCAGACACACTGGGCCAAGGGAAGGGTCCCAAGTTCTGGCACTTTCCAGCTGGCAACTCCCACCTGTCCGATGACGAGTTCAAGCTGCATGAAGTCAGTCCTGCACGCTAATGCCGAGCAGCCGATTGATGAAGGTGGACCTTGGCCCACAAGCCACGCGGCAGCTTGGACTGGGGGTTTGGTGGTCTCAAATATACTCACAAACCCATCAACGAACTTGGGCCCAACTTCAGCCACATCCACATTAACCAAGCACCAGAAGCGACATGGGAGCCGCGCCGCAAGGCCTCGTTTTCTGCCGCAGCACCGTCCCCTTCTGCTGCTCGAAACCGATTGAACCCTGCATGTCTCGGCAGGAAGTTCATGCCGACCGTTCGTCAAGCGAGAAAACTTGGCGATCAGACCCTTCAGTTTGGCCACTTGCGTCATTTCAAGCAAAAAGGCCGTGTCTTTTTGGAGCGGAAGTACCCTTCTTTGCTGGTAAGGGGAACCAAGGGAAAATAACTCCAGAGAAGCGGCTGGGTCTCCAGTCAGCTGGTCGACTCACTCAGCCTTCAACCAGTGGCCCTGCGACAGCATCAGCGAATGCCAGAATGAGCGATCCTGCGTGGAAATTCGTTGGACCCGCCCATTTGACGTCGGAGTGGGGGGGGGGGGGGCGGAGGGAAATCACCAGTCTGCACTTGTCTTTGGGTTTTGGTCAGATCTGCCAGAAACGTGCGGAGGCCCAAGCTTCCGCATTTAAGTTAGTTGTTTTGCACGCATGCACGGCTGCCGCCTGTGCCACAACGTTCGTTCCCTGCGGCCAACTTTGGAAAAGCATAGAAAAGCATGGAAAAGCATGGGAAAGCAGGTCTTTGCCCGGCAAATCACATAACGCCTGACATTCACGTCTTCAAGCTTACCCGGATGCCTCTGCAAAACATCAAGCGTCACAACCTCCGTCAAGATGACGCTTTTGACCCCCCCTTTATGCCTAGTCTTTGCAGCCAGACTGCAGATGCCCCAGCTTCTTGCTCTTGGACTACGGCCATAGCTCTCCAGCTGCCCTTGGACTATGGCTGTAGCTCAAGGCCAGCCACAGCGCGGCCACGAATGGACCGCCCCAGTTCTTGGCACACAGCTGGCCATGCAAAAAAGGCACGACTGGCCTGAAGCAACGCTTCACGCCCCTCGACAACAGTCAAGCCGCATGGCTCCATTTGTGGTCCAGCCCCAGCCCTAGCCCTATCCTTGTGCCCAACGCAGCTGACGGCAAGTCACCTCCAACCTCCAACCCCTTGCCCTTGGGCTGTGCTTCAGTGCCAAGCAGATACTTTCACGCATCTGCAGCTTTCACGCAGCTGCTCAGCCTTTCCGTGGAGTAAGAACAGAGATCAAAGGAAGCCTCGAAATCAAACAGGCCCTGGCAGCGAGACGGCCACACGCGAGGCGTTAACACTTGATTTCCCCTCGCCAAACCAACCAGCTCAAGACGCACATCAACCAAACATTCTCGGAGTGTCTCAAAATTAAACAGCTGGGGTGCAGCTGTTTGGTCTACAATTCCATTTACCCGGGTTCCATTTTGGTCTTTGGACCCCGATTTTTGAGCCACGCACATTTCCTCCCGAGCCCACCTTCCACCGCTCGACCTCCTCAGGCAGCTGGCAGCGCTTCTGGGCGCTGGCCGCGCTGGCCACGGTGTGCTTCGTCTTGGGCGGCGCCTGCCCGAAGGGCTCGGGCCGCCCAGGCCGCTCGGGCGGCATGGGCCCTCGCCCGGCGCTTCGGCTTTTCACCCCGGGGGAACGCCCGCCTATGGGGTTGGGTTGGGACCAGATTGGACATACTTGCGCAGTCATCGATGAAATCAAACCTGGATTGGACCCAATCGGCAAATACGTCTTCCTTTGAAGCTAGGTTGGACTAACCTGCCTCCCTTGGAACTATTGGACTACGTGCCCGATGCACCTGTATCCAGGCCGGTTCTTGCTCCACCAACAGTGACTGCTGTTGTAGAAAAGAGTGGAAGACAAAAGCTGACAACTTGACTATCCTGGTACTCCCCCTAACCCTCTGAAAAGGAACGTTGATAAATCTTCCCTTGTGCTTAGGAGTGGGGGGTTGAAAAACACTTTGCAAGTCGGATCGAGAAACAGAAGCTCCGTTTGAGCTTGCCAGAAATAGAAACTCTAAAAACCCACTCCGCATTCAAGGGGTGTCACCTGCAATAGAACAAGCTTGCATAGACACCCATGCAAAACAAACGCATTGAAGTTTTTCCTGGGTTCCCACGGCCAAAAGAAGTGATTCCAACATGGGTTTCCCTTTGAAATAAACAAAGAGTAGGAGTACTAGATCCCCACAAAATGTTTGGTGGTTGTTTTTTCGGGGTTTCCCTTCTAAAAGAAACACCACCAAGAGCAAAAAACAAGAAAACCGTTGGGAGTTGGGAGACGCAGACCTCGCGGCACCCGCGATCCATCCCTTCCGCCTTGAGCCAGGCGTTGTCCAGCGCCTCCGTGCTGGTGGCACGCTCCTTGGGGTCCTCGAAAGGAACGGAAAGCGCGGCGAACGGAAAGCGCGGAAAGCGCAGAGAGCAAGACTGGGACAGGGATCCTTACGTTATACACCTGAACATTGCCTTGTCAATGGTGGTTTCCCCTGATTTACCATGTTTACCCCGCATTCAGCACTAACATAGCACCTCCCAGTCGCACTAACATAGCACCTCACAGTTCCAAGAGGAAACTGATCTCCCAGGCACACTCTCTGAGGTGCTGTGCTTGTTGGAGGATTGGTACACACGCATGTACATGTACATATGCATGTACACCCATTGTAGAGCTTGTAATGTTGACCCCCTAGTAAGACCCAACCCCTGTTTTTGTTAATAAGGGGGTGTCCCTGGGTTTAGTGGGGAATCATCACTTTTGGAGGGGAAAACACCCATATTGATAAACAGGGGTCGGTTACTAGGGGGTCAACATTACAGGCTATACAATGGGAGTATATGCGGATGTACATGTACATGCGTGTGTATGTACATGCATATGTGTATATATATATATATGTAGAGAGGCAATTTTTCTGAAGACATGGTTCAACAATGGAGACCCGAAATGGAACCCTGGCAAAAGGAGAAGTAAACGAAATTCTGCGGCCCCGGGGCTCTTAAACAAACGGATTTGTCTCAACATGAGAGGACCCTCATAATGAAAGAAAACAAACTGCGAAAGGGTTTGAAACAGAGTTTCGGGATGGATAAAACAGGCCCTAACCCACCAACAAGAAGAGACCACCTTATCCCCCCGGTCCCAAGGGCAAAGCAGTTGCCCCCGGCCGGCACTAACACGAACCAAAAGGGGTGCCTCGTTGTAACAAGAAAGAACCAAGCAGAAGCGCAGCAAAGCGCAAGGCAGGCAAGCAAACCAGCAGCAAGCAGCACCAAGCGAGCAAAGCGAGCAAGCGTGCAGAAGCAAAACAAAGCGCGCACCACCGAACAAACAACCGACCCACAACCAAAGGACGTGCCTACCGCCGCGAGGCTCAACCCGCCCTTTTCCGGGAACGAGGTGAGCAGCGGCGCCGCAGGCTGCCGATGACGTTATGGCGGCGCGGTTCGCCGTGGTGAAATCTTGAGCCAAATGGCGCATTGGCCATGGCAATGATCAAACATGCTATGATAAAAGTACATGCCCCCAAAAACACCCCCCTCGACTGTACAAAGAGAAGGAGTGAATTTGGAAAGGCGCATTGGCCATTTGAAGTTGAATAGCACCAAAAAGGAACAAAGGCGATTAGACTACCAGGGTTCGCGACCCCATACCCGGGCTCGCTTTGGAGCCCGGATCCCGCCACCACCCCGAATTACGGGTATGGGGCGGATCACGCCGGTAGCCAAATCAAACAAGAGAAAGCAAAACGAAACAGAAACAAAGATTCAACTCCAAGATGGCAGGCATGAAATGTATGCGATGCAACCACATTGAATTATTAGATTCACGTGGATTTTGGGCTTGAATTATATTGTCAAAAGCGCATTGGCTTGCTGGTTGAAACGTGGTGCAAAGACCGAAATATCTCGGCCTTGAACGGCACCGTCTAGGCGCGCGATCACTCGAAAACAACCTCCAGGGATACCGCCAGCGGCATTCGGCGGTTCAGGTCCGAGTAGGACCTCACCGGCAGCGGTGCGGGGCATCCGTGATCCTCACCCCAGCACCTTGATGAGCTCCATCACCAGCAGCAGCAGCGGTGCAGGAGGATGCAGATCACCAGCGGCCATAGACGCCGCCGAGGGTGACTGCCTTGCTGTGGCGACGCACACCTGACAGGTAATCGCAGCTTGCGCGAATAGCGCACAGCCACACATGCAGATGAATTCTGAAATGGCGAATAGCCCAGACAAAGAAATACTACAAGGAGCATAGTCCATTTTGTGAATTCCGGGATGAAAGCATGCGCGCGTTGGCGCAGCCATGCAAAACGCATGGACAGACTTCAGGTATCACCGATGTCGTCCACCGCCGTGCCGCCCCTTCCCCTTGCTGGCATTCCAGTCCCCAGGGGGAGGAGGCACGGTCTCGGCCAACTCGTCACCGTCACCCCAAGTAGGGGTATGCGGCGAGCTCGGATTCTCGAACTCGCGGGGATCACCCTGCATATGCGGCTGCCAACCCTGCGGCATTGCGCCAGGCCACATTTGTGGCATCATACCAGCCATGGGCTGTTGCATGTACCCTCCCATAGGGAAAGCGGGGTACATCGGACTCGGGAACGGGAAAGGGGCTGCCTGAGCACCCTTGTACCCCGACCCGCGAGCATCAGGCTGATATCCGCCAGTTGGAGTTCTCGATCTGGCGGATCCGCCCCGACCGAACTGCCCTTGTTGGTAGCCGTATTGGCCACCCTTACCTTTGTACTGATCACCCTTGTGACCCTTTCCTGGAAACTGGTCACCCTTGTGACCTCCACCCTTGGGCCAGGACTGCGCAGGGGCTTTGCCCTTTTGCTGATCTCCCTTTGACCTGGATTCAGGTCGCGGGGTAGCAGACCGCTGGTCTCCCCTAGGAGGCTGCCCGCCTATGGTGCTTCCCAGCCGGCGGGTCAGCAAAGACAATGGCGCATTGGCCGTCGCGCTGTGCAGCGGGGACCATGT